GTATGGTCATGAGGTATAACGCAGTATGGTCATGAGGTATAACAGGTATGGTCATGAGGTATAACAAGTATAGTCATGAGGTATAACAGGTATGGTCATGAGGTATAACGAACAACAACATACCCTCGTGGCAGCAGAAGTGTTTGTAGTAAAGACAGCTTTGTACTTCCGTTCGCGCGCAACTTTGATGTTGTGTTCCTCCATCAACTTGACGAGCTCCAGGTTCTGTTTCGGGCCAAGTTCTGGGGAGGTCGTCATCATGAAGGAGTGCACGACTTCACCCACGTTCTGGGGAAGCTTGTGCCTAGGGGTAAAAATTATGTCAGGTTAAGGAATTACTCCAAGAAATAACCGTTCTAATTCCACCGGAATAAAGGCTAACTAAAACAAAATATAGGAAAAAAATTCGGTGCACACAAATGAGAAATAATTGAGTAATTAGGATTCACGGTTTGAAGACCCAAAAAATCTTCTATCGAAATAAAGGCTACGTTAAACATAGGCTAAACACACATATTTCTTGCACGAAAATTAAAGGGAACTTGGTAATTAGGACCCAAGGTTTGAAGGCTCACAATTCTTAAATCATAATATAGGCTAACTGGAATATATAACCGAATAAAAAATTTGCTTGCATGGAAACCAGAAAGATTTAGGAGTAATGGTTTAAGGAGTAATGGTTTAGGAGTATTAGGAGTAATTGTTTAGGAGTATTAGGAGTAATGGTTTAAGTAAAAGACTAATTAATTACTACGCACCGAACTTTAGACTCGCACTGCTCGAGCATATCGAAGATCCAGGCGAGGGGCACGTCAACTTCCACGGGAGGCTCGGCGTGCAGGTCGAAGTTCAGGGAACAGGCCACGATGCGGCCACTGGCGTCGCACACCACGAAACTGAGAGGGATGAGTGGGGAGTGAGAGGGACGAGTGTTCAATGAGGGGAACGAGTGGTCAATGAGGGGAACGAGTGGTCAATGAGGGGAACGAGTGGTCAATGAGGGGAACGAGTGGTCAATGAGTGGGACGAGTGGACAGGGAGATGCAAGCTATGCAGAGGGGACGAATGGTCAACGAGAGGGACGCAGTTCTGAGGACACGAGTGACCAATGAGAACGCGAGACTGAGTGACACGATCGAGGGACCAATATAAGGACGATGAGTGACATGAGGGAAACAATAACGTCCATATAACGCAAAAACATCAAACATAACACGCAACTAGCCATTAATTAATTTAAAACATTACTATCTCACAACAACATTTCATACTCACGATAACCTGACGCTATGAAAATTATCTACCAGACTGCATGAGGTTACCTGAGCCTCTGGAGTAGAATGTCAGGGTAGATGCCGTGCAATAGAGGGTAGAAGTCTTCTTTTTTGATGCCCGCTGCTACCTCCATGTCGCTCTTCGAGCTGAAGCTATCGGCGATGAGCCTGCGACAGACGCACAACTCCATTAATGGATGAACTACATAACTATTAAAACTTATCGTTAACTCCGCTTTTATTATTAAAACTAACGCTGACACCGCTATTGTTATTAAAACTAACGCTGACACCGCTATCATTAGAAAAACTTAACGCTAACGCCGGTATTAAAATTTAACGCAAACGCCGCTACTACTACTTAACGCTAACGCCGTTATTACAACTCACTCGACGACGCTGTCCTGCATGTGGGGCTCGAGCAGGTGGCAGGTGTAGCTGCAGGAGGCGCTGCAGGAGGGGGTCGCAGGTCCCCCTTTCTTCAGCGCCGCCATCTTCTGCACCACCGCCAGGAAGTCTGCGCAGTCCAGGAAGTCGCCGAGTCCTGCCAAAACATTCTTCATCAACAAAAAAGTATCATATATTAATAATAATAATAAGTAAAACAATAATACTAATTAATAATAAAATTTTAACCCTTGAATGCACACATTTAAGGCTGCAGGTAGTCAAAATGCAGCGAAGTCTGAGAGGGAGGTTTTCGCGACCATCGTGTAAAATCCTTGATCTGCCCAAAGCTCGGCCAGTCACTACCCTCGAGCTTGTACTCTTTGTAATATGATATCCTAGCCAGACCCTTTCTCGCGGCAACTGGTCGCCTTCAGGTGGCCAACTGGGAATCACCGATTTTGTAGCCCAAGTCGACCAAGGCGGTCACCACGAGGACGGCGTTCAGTGAGTTGCCCCCGACGCTGAAGAAGTTGTCGGTGAGGGCGAGGCGGTGGCTGGTGGTGCCCCCCGTGCCCCCCAGCAGGCGTCCCACCACCGTCATCAGGTCCTGTGCCACGTCCTTGTCTTCCTCAGGAACGACACTCAAGTCTACTGCAGGCACCTCACCTGAGAAAACGTTTTTATTATAAAATGAGAAAAAAACGTTAAAATAAATTGTTGTTGTAATTGCCCATCCTGGTAGCGGCGAATAGGGCAAAGTTTTTCCGGGCACTCGGTACCACTGGTAGTTCACACTGGCTCGCTGACCCGCCAGAACCATTTGATTGCATTACACAACACCCTGGACAAGTACTCATTTATTAACCAGAGTTGGATGAATGGCTGAGTTGACCATGAGCTGAGCTTCCCGGTAGAACTTGTCCTCAGTGGGACTCGAACCCGCGGGCGCTTGGTGCGAGAGACAGAGTCTCTCACCACTGCACCACCACAGCTCTTTGAAATAAATTGGCAATCTGGTGTTCTCAAAGACGACACTCAAATCCACTGAAGAGGCCCTACCCGAAAGACAATGAACTATGAAGGAGGGCCTTTAAAATGAGAAAAAAAACTTACGTCCTGAAAATTTCACTTAGAAGGCAAGTGCTTGTGTCAAATTAGTAATTTACCAGCATCCAAAAACAGATTCGACGTACCAAAACTTTAGTCAAATCTCGTTATTCGTATTTACCCGCGCAAATGACAAATTAGAGAATACAAAAAATACATATATATACAAAATATAGAATTACTTGACACAGTACAGAAACTATATATGGTTATCACAGACGGGATGGAACCTTACGTTGACAGACGTTGCTGTAGTCGCTCAGCAACTTCTGTCTGTCAACCTTGCCGTTGACAAGCAGCGGCAACTCTTGGAGACGAACAAGCTGCACGAAGTGACCACAAACATTTAATTATTTTAATCATTGTTACGAGGAGTTACTTTATTATTACCTCAACACTGTGCAAGCTGCGCGAACCATGTTAATTACCATGTCAATTTTAAAGATACTTGATATACATAAAGCCATGCATGTTACCAGGTAGCGGCATATTTCTCATATTCCGACACCAGAAATTCATGTCTCAAGCTATATATAGGATTCTCAAAATATAGGACTTATGTCCTATATTTTATATCCTATAGGATTCATGTCTCAAGCTATAGGATTCATGTCCTATATGTCCGATAGTATTCATGTCTCAAGCTATAGGATTCTCAAAAAAACTTAATTCGAAAAGAAAAACGAGCAAAAATTTGTGTAGAAATTTTTGTCAAAGATGAATTATGTTGAGATAAATCCATAGGCAACACAATTACGAAAATGGCAAGGAAAACTAAATATGAGTCGACAACGTTTCTCAGTATAAACATCGCATGAGCCTTGTGCCTCCTGTGGGTGATGAGTGTTGGTGCTAGTGTCCTCCATGACCCACCTTTTGTCAGGTGTCCTCCATGACCACCTTTTGTTAGGTGTCCTCCATGACCCACCTTTTGTCAGGTGTCCTCCATGACCCACCTTTTGTCAGGTGTCCTCCGTGACCCACCTTTTGTTAGGTGTCCTCCATGACCCACCATTCGTTATATGTCCTCCATGACCCACCTTTCGTTAAGTGTCCTCCGTGACCCACCTTTTGCTAGGTGTCCTCCGTGACCCACCTTTTGTTAGGTGTCCTCCATGACCCACCTTTAGTTACGTGTCCTCCATGACCCACCTTTTGTTAGGTGTCCTCCATGACCCACCTTTGGTTAGATGTCCTCCATGACCCACCTTAGGCCTCATATAGGTGATGAGGCGTGAGGCCAGGGAGGCTTCAAGGCGCTGCTCGTAGTCCTCATCATCGTCGGCGTCGCTGCTGTAGAAGGCGACCAGAGCCTGGGGGGAACATCTTATACATCGCACGTATATTTCTTTAATACTTAGCAATAAAATTTTACAAATTCTAATTGAAATTAATAAATAAATTTACGAATTAATAAATTTTACAAATTATAATGGCGGGGATTAACAAGTGTTCAGAAATGAGTTTACTAACGGGAACATCTTACACATCGCACGTATATTTCTTCAATATTTCGCAATATAACTTTTACAAATTCTAATGAAAATTAATTAATAAATTTACAAATTAATAAATTTTACAAATTCTAATGGCGGGGATTGACAAGTGTTCAGAAATAAGTTTCCTAACGGGAACATCATATACATCGCACGTATATTTCTTTAACATTTCGCAATATAACTTTTAAAAATTCTAATGGAAATTAATTTAAAAATTACATGTTAATAAATTTTACAAATTCTAATGGCGGGGATTAACAAGTGTTCAGAAATGAGTTTTCTAAATGAGGTGTCGATGAACAGTGGGAGAACAGGAGGTATAACCATGGTTGAATTAATACATTAATTAATTGTATTAATTCAACCATGGCTATAACAACGAACCTGCTGTGCGGTGCCTGGGGCGTAGCACAGCACAGCGCATGCAGTGACGCCTTCTGTGCACTGCACCTCCCGCTGTACCTGCACAGCAAATACGTATCTTGATCTGTCCGTCCGTGCGGCCCTCGTACAGCAGAGTGCCAGAGCTGTGGCAGGTTGCATAGTCGCCGGTGCGGTACACCAGCTCTGCGAACCATACTTATTAACACAATTTTAAAGTTTAATTAAACGAACAAAATAATTACAAATTTTCTTCCTTAAAAATTGATACAAGTGCAGACTTCATTACCTATTTTTCGCCCAAAAAACTGCTTAGATATATTTTATTTTTCCGGCAAAAAAATGACTTGAAATTGTATCCTAAACTCTACGGAAGCAAGTCGCAACATTCAATTAACTATTGCTTAAGTCATCGACGGATAGCAAAAACATATAAAATATTCTTGACGCTCCGTTAGCGGAGTAGAAAACCCACATAAACATATTTAACACCGGATTAACAGAATTTGTAATAATAGAGAAAGAGATACTAGTAAATAATATTAGTAAATATTATTAGTGGTAATTAAAAGTAATACTAATAATAATAGTGATAAAATTTAGTCAGACAATAATTCCTAGTATATTACCAGCCTTGCCTAGTAAATAGTATTAGTAAATATTAAGAATACTAATTAATAGTAATAGTAATAAAATGTAGTCAGACAATAATTCTCAGAATATTACCAGCCTTGCCTAGTAAATAGCATTAGTAAATATTAAGAATACTAATTAATAGTAATAGTAATAAAATTTAGTCAGACAATAATTCTCAGAATATTATCAGCCTTACCTAGTAAATAGTATTAGTAAATATTAAGAATACTAATTAATAGTAATAGTAATAAAATGTATTCACCTAGTAAATAGTATTAGTAAAGATTAAAAAAACTAATTAATAGTAATAGTAATAAAATTTAGTCGAACAATAATTCCTAGCACATTACCTGTCTTGCCGTCAACGCAGACGTCCAAGAATCTGTCAGCGTGGCCGACGCGCACGTATCCCAGCGCGAGGTTCGCTCCGTACACGAGGATCTCCCCGAAGCTGGTAACCGCTTCCCCGTTACCGGTAACACCGTTACCGCCATTATTAACGGTATCTCCGTTACCATTACCGCTGTCACCACCAGCTGAGGGACCGCTATGACCGTTGCTAACGGCACCTTCACCGTTACCGAACAAGATTATGTTAGTGAAATTTAAATTTTAATTACCAGCTGCGTAATTACCTAAAAAAATAATTACTATGTTACGAAGTTCGTAGTGCCCGCGGTGAGTTACCCTATTACAATTTTTCATTACCCACATGGGTCTGTGACACGTGAAAATATTACAAGTTCTGGCACGTAAAAAAAAAGTTTGAAGCAGATTTATTACGTAGATTTGCCCTGATGAATTTATTAACAAGATTAGCAGATAACGAGTTCCATAATGTTATTATATCACATGGCAGAAACTCTGGTAACGTTTGATCGAATGTCTAGACTTTGTGTCAGTGGACTAATAAGTGTATAATAATTTCTAATTCAAATAAGTAAGTGGATATAACTGATAAAACACCAGTGGTGGGCAGTAGCGCGCTACATGTAGCGGCCGTTACATTTTCAGTAGCGGTAACGGTAGCGGAGCTATATTTAAGCAATTGTAGTGGTAGCGGTAGCATGTAGCGGTAGTGGTAGAGCATGTAACGGTACATTTAGAGCATGTAGCGGTAGCGGTAGCGGCCGCTACATTTCAAAGTAGCGCTGCCCAGCTCTGTAAAACACTAATAATAAATCTTAACCATTTGAATGTAGCTGAGTACAGCCGGTGAGCTGTGCAACGTCCGTGCTCAGGATGACGTTGTTGTTGTTGATAACCGTGCCTGCGTTGGAAATTTAAAATCGTCATTGAAATCATTATACAATGGTTCTAGAATTATCTAGCAGTTTCTAGTGCATTTTTTTAATCACATATATAACTTTAAGACATATGGCCGTTAATTGTCTACAAAAGGTTTAGAATATATGGACTTAGCCTAAAAAAGTTTCATTTACAATAAATTTCTATAATAAAAACAATTGCTACTTCTGGTCTTATTGACATAATGCCAAAATATTACGAGTAGTCGAGTTACAATGTGCTATAATGTAAATAATATAATATAATATAATATAATATAATATAATACAATATAACATAATATAATAAAATGCTGAAGGCGACGTACGTGACGTCCCCGAGCACCTCCGTAGACCCGTAGAAGTTGCAGATGCTCTGCCGAGAAATATTATTGTTGCTATTATGATTATTAATATTATTATTTTCATTATTAGCATTAATAACAGTATTTTTACCATTATTACTGCTATTATCACTATCATAATACTATTTTTACCATACTTATTATTACTATCGTTATTATTATTATTATTATTACTTGAAAAATATTTGTATAATTATCACTATTATTAGTGTTATTTTTTATTATAATTGCTAGAATTATTTATACTATCATTTCTATTCATATTATTATTAACAAAGAGCCTGACCTGTTCTTGCGAGAACACACGGAAGAAGTTCTCCAGGAGGTCGAAGGGAAACTGTTCTCCCGAACACACCCACAACCTGCACGCACAGTGAACAGTAAGAACTGCGACGTGTGTTCTCAGTGATAACAACCGGGAAATGTAGCGAATAAATATTTTTAGTGAATATTTTCAGTGCGAAACTCAATTCTGTTCTTTTTGGAAATGAATATTTTTTTCCTAGTTCGACGATAATACGTTGATATGTAGGTAGGTTATTTTTCCAGAGTAATAATAGTATATGGTTTGTTAGCGCTTCAACTATCAAGCTATTTGAAGCTTGATTTCAAGCTATTTGAAGCTTTAGCTTGAAGCTGAAGCTGGCTTCAAAGAAGCAGCGTTAGCATCTCAAAAAGACGAAGTGACAAGGAGGGACAGGTGAAAAGCAACAGAAACTAAGACACTCGAACAAGAGGTCGCTTACACGGGACGTCGGCCGCCCGCACGAGAGAGACAGAGAAGGGAAATGTAAGGAATCCTACCTAC